GAGGATTCTGGAAAATCCTTCGCAGGAGCTTCCCGGGGCCTGCTTGGTAGGGATACCCCCTCTGCATGCATTTGCCCTTCCGTACCACTTGTGACCTTTATCCAGTTGCAGTGTCCACAGCCTGCAACATCAGAAGTTTTGAATCGAACCTCTCAAGTACGGTGTTCCGCAAATATGATAATCTGTGCGATCAGTTCCGCGCCAGGTTATATAATTCCCACCCGAGGCGCTCTTCACCCTCCGACCCCATGGATCCGTTCTCCCTTGTGACTGGTCTCGCTGGGCTTGTCTCGCTTGCAGCTCAGCTTGGCTCCAGTCTCGCTGCATTTCAACACTCGTATCGCGGCGCCCGTGAAAGCTACGCCCGCCTGGCGTCCGAGCTGGCCGCTGTGGTAAGCACGCTATCGATGCTGCAAATTCACATCAAGAAAGGGTTGAATATCGGCGCGGCGATGCTCCTACAAGAGCCCGTCGATCAGTGTGCCGTGGCTCTGGCGAAGATACGCGAAGAGTGTCTCCCAAATAAACCAATGTCTAAACGCCGCCGGTGGGTTTGGGCGTACAGTGACGAGCGTCGGGTCCTCGATTTCATTGCATTGCTTGAGCGCTATAAAGGCATGTTCAATGTGGCATTGAACCTCGATCTTTCGTAAGTCCGTTTTGCGGCTCCCGGTTTGATAAGTTAAGTGTTCGCAGCGACCAGGTGGATCGATTGCAATTGGGAATCTCGCAACTGCTCGTTGGCCAGGAATTGGACCGCCAGGATGCTGCTGCGGCCAAAAACGGTATGGCTTCCTTCTCAAGTTCATCGCCGACAGAGAGATCATAAAAATACTGTCCAGATGACCAATTGTCGAAAATCTTGGAATGGTTGAAACCGTTCAACATGAAGGCTAGGCTTGAAACCATCCTGCAGCTTCGTCAGCCGGGGACTTGCCAGTGGGTCTTGGACAGTACAGTGTTGAAAGGCTGGGAAAAGTCGACCTCGGGTTCGCTCCTCTGGTTGCAGGGAATTCGTGAGCTCTACACATCTGCGAACGATTCTGCCACCCACAATTGTCCTTCGCAGCTGGCAATGGCAAGACAGTCATATCGTACGTCTACATTCCCATGTTCAAGGACCCCCCTCTCATTCACAATTGTAGCTCCGTTCTTATGGACCATCTCGTGAAACAGTGCTCACGCGACGATGCTGTGTTGTATGCTTTCTGCGAGTTCCGGGATAAGCAAAGTATCGACCCAGTGGTTATCCTCCGAACATTCGCTTCACAATTATTGCGCATATATCCTGGCAGCATCACGCCGGACTTTTCGGACTTGGTAGATGAAGAAAGGAAAAGAGAAAGCCCACCAAACACTATATCCTCCCTCGAAGCTCTCATACGCAGGGCCGCGCGAAGATTTGAGCGAGTACACATTGTCCTTGATGGATTGGATGAATGCGAAGATCGCGGGAGCTTGCTGGAACTGCTGCATACCTTGGTGGAGGCCGAGGCCTTCAACGTATGTATTGCAAGCCGCCCGGAGCCAGATATCCAAGAAGCACTCGGCTCCGCAATCACTATTTCGCTGCAGATGCAGGAAGAGCGGGCACACGTTCACAACGACATTGTGCATCACATTACTCGCGAACTAGAACTTCGTCGGGAGCTGCGTCGTTTGCCTAAAAAATTAACGGCCGAAATACAGGCAACACTGGAGAGCAAAGCGTCCGGAATGTAAGCCATCATACCGTATTTCACATATATTTCTATTGGGTCTCATTTAACTGTATTCCAGGTTTCGTCTAGTGCAGTGTCAACTCGACATTCTGGTTCGGAAATCTACATTCGCAAGTGTTACACGCGCCCTCCAAAATCTCCCTACCACGCTGATGGAGATGTACGACCGCATCTTGGAGCGCATTGACGAGGATAATATCGAGATAGCTCGCCGGGCTCTACGCTGGCTTGCTGACGCAAAGCGACCTCTACGACTCGCTCAGCTTGTGGAGGCTATCAGGATTGAACCGTGTGGCAGCGAGCTCAACGAAACAGACTGTTACGTTCTGCAGAACGTCATGATCCTTGAGATCCTTTCAAGCCTTGTAACCTACAATTCCAACGATGGGATTATTTCATTATCCCATATGTCAGTCCTTGTATGTCGGTTTGACGTCCTGCTCCCGAGTCAAGTCCTAATTAATCGAGGCAGGAATACCTTATGTCCTCCAATTTGCACGAGTCCCCGTTCAAGTGTTACCATCTTCCCGCTCCACCCATTCTTGCAAACGAAATGTTCATACTCCTCATCGACTACATGCTCATGACCGACTTTGATCGTCCTCAATTTGAGGCTGAGGATGAGTTGCGCCAATTCGTCGCTGAGGAGCACCCATTTTATGATTACGCGACTGTTCATTGGGAGGAGTACATCCAGTACGTGGACATCTCTCGGCCCGCAACTCTCCAAGCACTCCTTCGCTTGATTCAAATGCCCAAGGCCACCCAGTGGTTGGCACACCAAATAAGCTCTAGCCATGCTACCGGCACATTCCGTAAACCAGATGGCCAGCCTCACCCCCTCCGTGGACTCTGTTACAAAGGCATAGATCCTTCCTTCATGGAGCATATTGCCTCGATCAAATTTTCAGACGACATGATCCAATGCTGCCTGTTCGCGGCAATAAACCAGGCGCAAACACGAATAGTGGAAAGGCTCCTGGATGTCAGGCTCGCGGATGTCAATCGCAAACACATGTGTTGGCATTGCTCTCACCCGCTGATAATCTCCCTGAGGTCCATCGAAGTAACTCCGCTCGCCTTTGCGTTCGAATTGAGCAATCTCGAGGCTGCCCGCGTACTCCTCCAACGCGGTGCAATTCCAGATGATACAATGACTGACGGATCAACTGCCTTGCATTCTGCCACGAGGAGCGGATTACCAGAGGCTGTACATATGTTGCTGGAGAATCCTGGGGTAGATCTGCACGCCCGTGATGGGAGCGGGCACACAGCGTATAGTATTGCGGCTCAGCTGGACGCGAAGGCGATTGTGGGGTGTCTTATGGATCATGGGGCATCGGAGGTTGATCTCGCCCATGAGACACTGCACGGGCTCCAGGAGGATGAGATTATCAAAGTCGGGCTCTGTTTAGCGCGAATGCTGCGTGCACAGGTCAAGCTGGTTCCTGTCATTTTGGACCTTGCCAAATACTGGGCGGTCAGTACTGCGGAGAGAAATAATCCAATGGGGGTGGTCTTCAAACAAGACTCACCGGATGAGCCCTACATATCCCTCAAGATCAACGGACGAAGCAAGGAGCCTCTGAACTGCTTGGTGTTCACCACTACATCCCACGATCAGGGTGCGTACTCGATGTTTTTTTTTTTGAAACTCGGTGTGATGTGCATTCAGGATGGTCTGATCATAATCCCGATATTGGGACATACCGAAATTCTTGCTCCTGGTTTGATGTCGGGGATGAGCGAGGGAACCGCCACAGATTCCAGGATAATATCCATGGCTCGGACAAGAAACGCGTGCACCGAAATGTATGGGCTCGTGACGCTTACATCCCCACCATCTCGGACTGGATGCGGACACTTCGTAGCGGTGATGTGCTGAAGATATACCCAAAAGCATATTATCCAGGCTGGGAGAATCACGTCTACGCTGTGAAGGTAGTAGCGTATACCTCCTGTTTGTAGCATATCAGACTGAAACACCATGTCACCATCTACAAAAAGGACCCGGTTATTTCAGAGCCATAGGTAATTAGCCTTAAATGTGGATTGCTATGGTTGGAACATGTGGCTGTGCATGTGGTTCAAAACGCTTTCACCTTTCTCCCATCGCACAGAGAGAACATTCTTAAGTCAATTATTCATGAATGAAAGGGAGCATTTGACACAGGAGATATAGTTAGAGGTAAAATATGCGGAAACCCAAGGGAAAGCGAAATTCAACTTCTATAACCGTCGAGGATTCTGCACAGGTCCACCACCCAGTGGGGCCTGACATTGCTATGAGCTAATGTGCCGGTGCCTTTGCGGTGCTTAGTAGCCAACGCTTCACAAAGATGATTAGCAACTTACCGCCGCCTCAAGCTCGAGGGCTGTGTCTAATCACATTAATATTACTAGCTCACTGAAAATAACCACGAGTCATCAGCTTGAAGGGTACTAGTACCCGTTTTGAACATGGGTATTGCACTAGACACCTCACTTGTCGCTTGAGGGTCGTCCATTGACCATGTCGTTAGAAAATTAACTGAAGGTACTTGGGTGCCCGCAAATTAATCTGATTTCAACCACGCTTCGTGCTCACTTCGTTCAACGGCTGAACTGACCGCAACCGACAATTATCGGAATCGGCAGATCGGGGGTTCGAATCCTCCTGGTGGCGCAAAGGGTCTCGAGCCTCCAGCCGAAGAAGTGGGCGCTCGCGAAATTCACAGTACACATTGGCCTTGTGTAATGCTGTCTCAATCTATTTTTTGTCTCTCTGGGGTTGGGTTTTAAATAATCTTACTGTGATTCTGGAGAAAACTAATTTTTTTTTACTCAATATATGCAGTACGTGTAACAAGATCTGTCAATTCACCATTTCTATTATTTAGCGAAATCCGAGGACTCTGAGGATGCGCAAATTGAACGGCATTTCGTCTAGAAACTTCCTTACAGCGGCAGACTCCAGAAGCGCGAAAAGTACCCCGCCAAGTCTCGGAGAGCCTTACGCGTGGATCGTTATTCTTACGGGGTGCAGTGGTGCACAGTGGTGCACTGCCACTGACGCGTCGATCCTTGACATGTCTTCTTTCCCCGCAAGGGCACAATCTGATGCGAAGTTTGATTCAGTAACATCGCAACATCGTTTGCAGCCTTTCCAAGAGGAACTTGAATAGAACCAGAGCCTAAGTGCCATACATAATTCTAAGTGAAACGGTCGGTTTTTGTTTTATAATATTCTTCGAGGATGAGGGGACCGCTATTGACCGGAAGTCGTGCAGTGAGAGTGTGTCCACTATGGCACAGTGGTAAAACTGACCGTAACCGTCTAGATGATCGGAAGCGGGAGGTCGGGGGTTCGATTCCCCCCGGTGGCACACTCGGGGTGCCGGGTCGCTCGCTGGTCGATACACCCGCGCGAAGTAGCAGTGCCAACATTCACCCCATGTTATACTGCGCTTTACTTTTTTATTTATTCTCGTTCTCATTTTGTGGGTCTTTCAATGCTCGAAACCCGTACTTGGGCGGTCCTCAGAATAGTCAGTTATCCCTAAAAATCAGAAGCTCACTATTTCCAACAACGACAGCTCAAGATGCGCATCAAATGGCGTTTTCGGCGCGCCGTCGCATTCCCCTTCGGCCGGCTCCTGGGGCTCATGCTCGCCCACCCAGACATATTTGCAGAACAACTTCGAGAAGGTCTAGAAAATAACGAAGGAATGAATCACAAATAGCAGATAACAGTGGGTATACCAGGTATACAGTATAATATATTCTGACTCTCGGTCTACATTTAAATCTCAGAGGCGGCGCTACGTCCCAAAATACGACCTCGGCTGCGTCGCGAGCCCACTCTTGCGTATAACCCCCGCAAGTGCATTGTCCACATCCGTGAGGCTCGCCTCCTTGCGGAACACCTCCATGTACACCTCCTCCTCCGTCGCGCCCCCATCGTCGCCCGCGCCAGCGTCCTGCACCCCGCGCCGCGCGACGTGCCAGTGCTGTGGGTTCTGCCCGCGCGAAAACACCTCCGAGATCGCGGGCTCGCTGCGGAGTCGATGTCAATGATCAGTTTGCGTGTAAAGTGGATGGATAGAAGAGCAGACGCACCTCCCCTGCAGCAGCAGCCGCGCATCGTACAGGTGCCCCGAGCGCGACGTAAAGTCCGGGCTGGTGACCGCGAGCCGCGCGAAGGAGAGCGCGTACCGGTCCTTGGGCTGGAGGATCTTGGTCGCGGAGGGGAGGGTGTCGACGCTAGAAGGGCGGGGTCAATAAGTCAATCATTCTAAACTAAACGCGAATACGGAGGGGAAAAGGGACGACGCACCTCTTCGCGGGGTCGTCTTCCATGGCGGCGATGAGGCTGGCCGCGAGGACGGACGCCTCCTCTGCGAGGGGCTGCAATTCCGCAGAGTCGGGCGCAAGGGGGTTGGCGTCGTCAAGATCTATCAGTGCGACCAAGACGCGGTCTCGCTGATGAGGGCCCTCAGTTAGATGTATGTGGGCTGGAAGAGCGAGGGAGGACGAACCACGAGATAGAAGAGCCGTCGCCGCTGGGTTGCCTGCGGGTCGTCTGCGCGCGCGAGGTGTACCGTCGTTGACACGAACACCGCAGGCTCGGGCTCGGGCTCCGGTGTCGGAGGGAGCTCCTTCGAAGACTCTTCCTCCAACGCCGAGGCTTCAGCCGTCTGCATTGGCGCCTCCTTTGCAATCGGCGTATCGGGAGCACCCAACCCCTCAACGACGTCCGCAACCTCCGCCTCGCGCGGCACGATCGTCTCCGACAACGAGCGCACATCCCCATCCGCATCGGCAGATGCAGCCTTTTCCACAGGCACGGACATCGGCATCGGTATCCGCTCCGAAAACATTGCGTCCTCCAGCGCGCTCCGGTCGACCTCAAAGTCGTCCACCATGTGCTCCGAACCCGGTGTGTCCATCGGCGTGCGCTCGCGCACCGACCCGAGTGCGTCTGCGAACCGCATGCGCGCGGGGTCGCCCTTGTCCTCGTTCATGGGCGTCACTGCGAACAGCTCCGGCGGCTTCTTCGTGTTTTTGCCGAACGTGAGCCAGGCGGGCATCTTGACGTCGAGGTGCATCCCCAGGAAGGTCTTGTCTCCGTCGGTGATGGAGGGATCTTGTTTGGGTCTTGGGGCGTCGCGGGCGGCATCGGGCGGGGGCGGGGGCAGCGCCTTCACGCCCTTGATGGTGCTGTCGGCGGCGGCGGGTGGGGGGAAGTACGACTCTGCGGTCTGGGGCGGGGGTACGATAGAGAGCAGGAAGTTGGGGAGGGCGGGCGGAGCGGACATGGAGGTGTATCGCGAAGAGGGGATCACATATGGTGGGGATATGGCGATGGCGACGACCTCGTCGGGTAATCTGGAGGAGAACTCGTCTAGGTAGGGGAGCAGAGAGCCCTGCATGGGGTGTAATGGAGGACCGAGGTGGTCTCCGAATTCAGGCCCGTCTTCGAGATTCCAGGACCACGCCCAGACGGTGAAGAACCGTTCCAATTGCAGTTCCAAGGCCTCCTGCCCGAGAGACGACAGAATGGAAGCAAACGATCCGTGCCTCAGCTGCTCGGACAGCTCAGCAATGCGAGGGTATTATAATGGCGCACACACCTTGAACTTCTCGTACCCGCGCATGAGATCGACCTGAACCGCAACGTCGTGCACGGAATGCTCGTGATAATCGTACAGCAGCGGCTGCTCCTTCCCCTTGGTCTTCTCCTTCCCCTTGCCCTTGGCTTTATCGGCAGGCTGGCGCGGTGTCTTTGCAACTTCAATGCCCTTAAACCTACTGAATCAACGTGCGAGGTCGGAGTCCTGGAGAACCGAACGCACTGCGTGTATCCAAAAATCCGGTTCGGGAGACACCATAATCATCCTCTTGGTCTGCGAGTGCACGTTGTTGCATGGGTCTTCGGCGTTGAACATACTAGCAAGGAATGAGCTTGATATTACATTTATTCGTTAACACTGACTCGGAGAAGCTGATGAGAGCCTTCGCCAGCCCAACCTGCCGAAGCATTCGGTCGCGCGAGACGGCCCGTTCTTTGGAAGTGTAAAATAAAATATGGGCCTGCTCCTCCGCATCCTCGTCATCGGGAGCAACGGGTCCACTCGGGCGAAGGGTAGGATTGTAGATGGTGAGGTACAAAAGGTTAGGAGCAATTCGGCTCATGTTGTCGTTCTGGAAAAGAAAGATTTGGTCGTGTTTCGAACGGAGGGTATTGGCTTCCTTCCAACCGTTCAAGAAATCAAGCTCTGCGTACGAAGGCCATGCTTTTCTCGATTTCTGGGTCGTGGAAGTTACAGAATCACCACCGTGGCAGTGTTTTCCAGGTTCCTCAGTTCCTCAGTCCATCTCAAGCTCCGAATCGTCCTCCCGGGTTCTGAAGCCTCATGGCTCTATGGGCATCCCTATTTTCTCAGTGCATTCCTCGAGACACGGCTTAACGGAGCAAAAAATGCTACTAAACAGGAGCGCTACCTTGGTGGATGATAATCGACAGTCATCGGTTCACACTATTCAACCAACTTGAGCTGGCCGCGCCCGCCCCCAAGCTTCACCACTGCCAGCCTGCCTCCGGACGGAACCACTCCGGTCCTGGCTCAACCGCGACTCAGTACGCCCTCCAGCTGCTTCACGCCGCGGGCTACACCAACGTCGCCAGTCGTCCCCACGCATTTCCTGTAGACGCCGGAAGCTCCTGCAAAGGATTGTCCGGAAGCTGCTGGAGGATTGACAGTTCAATTCGTTCAGTTAAGCTATGCGTATCTATTCGCCCGTCTTCGCCAAGTACGTCTTCCGACATGATAATCACAACTAAATCGGAATTTATACATCCACCAGCGCTACATCTACTTTCAGTTCTGGGTCTCCACAAGACTGGTCATAACCCTCCTGCCCCCCTTCTCCCCAACCTTCACGATCGTAACCGATTTATGCTCCGAGACCTTCCCATCAGCCTTGTTCGTGACCGTGAATTTACTGATTTGCGCTACCACCCCCGTCCGCGCAGCCGGGTCCAGGGGCACCACTGCCAAATCCTCGATCGTGGTCAGCTTCGCGAGCGAGGTCTTGTGGAACTCCTTGGTGACTTCGAGGAACGCGGCGGCGGTCATGTTTTTGCCATTGATGCTATTGCATTCCGTCAGTCGAAACCTTCGCTGATGTGTATATAGCGCCATACTCAATATACGCGTCGGGCGCGACATCGTTCTCATACGTCGAGAGCACAAGCGGCATGTCGTCTTGGTTGAAGAACAAGCGCTGGAAGAGCAGGTCGGCGAATTGGCCGAGGGTCTCGTTCGGCGCGGGCTGGTACGTCTGAGTCGTCATTCGGGTGGTAGGGGAATAGAAATGCTCGTGGATGTTGCGGTAACTGTCCTCCACAGAACTGGAGACCCTCTATTATACGGCGAGACTAAAATTACTTTTACTCAGCCACGGCGGCTTGCGGGCGGCGTCGCGTGCCAAATTCATTGTCACCGGGCGGGCTGATGAAGCAAGTTGCTGAGCAATCCTAGCTTCAAATTGACTCACCTGGAAGGAAGGAAGGAAGTTTATTTTAACCTGGAGAAATCGGTACCGGTTTACATCATTCCTGGTTCAAATCTCCGGTTACTATTTGCGGAGCCGCCGTCAGTGGACTTTCAAACGGAGGACATTGGCTTCCTTCCAACCATTCATGAAATCAAGCTGCTAGGCCATGCTTCTCTCAAATTCTCGGTCGTGGCAATTACAGAATCACCGCCGTGGCAGTGTTTTCCAAGTTCCTCAGTTCCTCAGTACTAGTCCAATCTTGCCCTCAGGCTCAAGTTCCGAATTGTCTTCAAGTTCCCGGGTTCTCAAGCCATTTTTGTCTTAGCTCTACGTGCCTATGTTTTCTCAGTGCATTTCATCGAAACACGGATTAGCGAAGCAAAACTTGCTACACTAATGTCACCAGTCGTCCCCACCGCGTTCCCGAAACACCACACAGGGCCTGGAAGCTCTTGCAACGGATTGTCCGGAAGCTGCTGGAGGATTTATCGTCCGTTACGCTGTGCGTATTTATTCACCCGTCTTCGCCAAGTACGTCTTCTGACACGATAATCATAACTGAATCGAATTTTATGTATCCAGCAGCGCTACATTTACTTTCAATTCAGGGCCTCCACATAACTGGTCATAACCCTCCTGCCCTCCTTCTCCCCAATCTTCACGATGGTAACCGACTTATGCTCCGAGACCTTCCCATCAGCCTTGTTCGTGATCGTGAACTTACTGATTTGCGCGACCACCCCCGTCCGCGCAGCCGGGTCCAAGGGTACCACCGCCAAGTCCTCGATCGTGGTTAGCTTCGCGAGCGAGGTCTTGCGGAACTCCT